GGGGGGGGGGTAAGCACATGAATTATGCTACACGGTTTTTCTGGAACTCTTACTTAGAGCAGGGGCCGCTATTTTTTTTTTCAGAGTGTGGGTCGGATGGCCGCAAGTGCGATCGGGATAGATCTGGTTATTTTTTTATTGTAGACTACTTATATGGGTATCAATTTTTTCAATATAATAGGCCTATACCTCAGAATTCTACAATAAGTGTAGAATTCTGTGGCCTATACTGAATACATGTAGGCTACATACCGAGCTGTCCATTTATCAATCTACATACGAAAAAGTTTGTAAAAGCATCTTTGATTTGCACGGTAGAATTCGTTTTAGTAAGAGTTTATGACACTTGTAACACAAATTAATAGATCGTGGGTGTTTGGCGGGTGTTCTGGTGTGGTTTACTTCTTCTTTCCTATCAAACATCTATTGTCCTTATCTCCCCTTCTTCTTTTGTTACACTCTTGTAACACCTCTAATCTTCTGACGCTCATGTGACCTTATGCAGTTGCGTGCGCCGTAAAACCTCAACAAAAAACTAAAACAAAACAAATAGATCATAATATCAAATTGTGCCGAATATTAGAGGCGTCGCTACGGAGTAACATACCAAAAAAAAGGGGGGGGGGGGGGGGTGGAGATATGTAGAAAAAAAGGGGGGGGGGGGTGGAGATATATATATATATATATATATATATATATATATATATATATATATATATATATATATATATATATATATATATATTATATATATATATATATATATATATATATATATATATATGTGTGTGTGTGTGTGTGTGTGTGTGTGTGTGTGTGTGTGTGTGCGTGATGATAGGCAGTTTGATGTAAGAAAGAGCAAACTGCACCAGAGCACCCGTCAACCACTCACTTGGTACAGTTCGATAAAATGATTAACTCATTTTTGTGACTGGGTCCTAAGCAGGCAACAAATACTTCTTGTAATGGTTTGTCTGTATGTTTGCAGTCCGGGCGGACTGACCTCGTACGCTACAGTTTGGTCACCCTTACGTATTAGAGGGGTACGTAGGCCTAAATTTATGCAGTATGTTCGATCAAAGTCTACCAAAATGAATATTAGCATTTAGAGTTAGATTCAGTTAGAACGAGAGAGGATAGTAATCAAAAGAACCCCCCCCCCCCCCCTCGGACACGTGCGCACATAAAAGCGCATGCACGCTTCCCTTGGTTCGTAATTGTGAGTTTGGTTTTGCTGGCCTGTTGTTGTTTTTTTATAGGCCTTAGATATATATGTGATAAATTATCCTACGTCTAAATATAAAGCATGCCTTTGGTGTGAGCATGGATTGAACTAATTGACATGTTTAGGGGCCTTTCAAATATAATCTTACGCCTGGGAGGGGGGGGGGGGTCTTTGGCTCCTTTAAGAAAAGTGTAAGAAAGGGGGGGGGGGGGTCTTGAACTAATGTAGTATTACACTTTTGTGAGGTGAAAAAATATTTTTGACATAATGATGAAAGATATTATTTATCATTTGTTGATGATAACTAATCTCATATTTTTTTCAGCGTAAATGATCAGTAATAACAGAGATACAGTGGAATCCTGATAAAGTCAACTTGCTTAAAGTCAAGTCTTGCTTACAGTCAACACCTCACTGTAGTCCCGTTTCTTACCTTATTTGGAGTTAAAGTAATTGTGTTTCTGATACAGTCAACCGCTTGAATGTTAACTTTGTATAAAGTAAAAAAAATTGGGGCTAAATCCTGAATTCATTCAAGAAGAGATATTTCTCCTGAGTAAGTGGTGTACACACCTCCAATTACATATTATGTACTTTGTTTTTTCATTATCTCTTGTTTTGGTGACAACTTCAGAATTATATTCCCTGAATTTGAGATTACATCTTGTTTATTACCAGGTACTGTGTATTTTTGTAGCTGTCATCTTCAATTTTCAATGGCCAGTACATTTAGTACAATGGATAAAGTCAACCTTGCTCAAAGTCAACACTTTTTTTCTGTCCGGGGTGTTGACTTTATCAGAATTCCACTGTAACTTGTTTTGTTTTTTTTAATTAAAGCGCTTTTGTCATAGACTTGAGTCAAGTTTGAGTCTCAAACTTTTCCTTTTTATGAGTAAGAAAGAGTGTGTATGCAATATTTTCCTTGAATGATTTACTTTAATTGTGAGGCAGCGTGGGGAAATCAGGCGCTCGTCAAAATAATGAAAGTGAAAAAAAACTGGCATTTTGGGAACTTTTATTGAAATTTTTTTTTCGCGCTAAACACCTTTACATCCATACTGAAAAACGTTCATAACATGCACAAAATTTGTGTTTTTTCAGTTTTAAAGGCTCTCAAGCTATTGAAGTTATCAAACTTTGGCGGCCGTTTTCTCACTAAATTTACCTCTGAAATCAGGTGTCCCCACTCCTTCAATCACAAATATTTTGACTTAAGCATAGATGAATATTGTTTTCATCAAAAGGAAGGCAAATGGACAGGCTTTAAGATGATATCAATAACTCTGTATGCCTCAAAATCAAAACTGACGAGCGCTTGATCCCACCATGTCGTGACACCTATTATTTTTAGTGCATATATTATTATGTGCATGTATGTGTGTATGCATGTTTTTCATGAATATTATGCAATACGCATAGAGCAATGATTGTTTTACGGATTTGCGCGATATAAATGTCATATTATTTTTAT